TTTGATCGACATGAATTGGGCTCCCAATTTGAATCAAATTCATTTGTTGCACGGTGCGGCAGCCAAGAAGGTTACTTTTTGCATTCTGGTCATCAACAACAGTGAATGGTACTTTGAACTTTTGCTTTGTAATTGGGTCTTGTACTTGTATTTTGCACTTTCCAAGGGGTGTGAGAGATGAGTTGTTGTACATCTTTAGAACATGTGCCGTAGGTTTGATGCGCCGTTCGTATTTAGTGCCTTTTAATTCACTCTTTTTTAGGACATTGCAGGTTGCCCCTGTATCGATTTGAAATTTGGTTGTGTTCCCCCCTTTTATTTTCATGGTAGCAAAAATCTGTGATTTGTAAATGTTCGGTTGGTGTATTGTATTGATGGTATCATTCTCGGTGGGGTCTAGTTCGACAGTCATAAGCGAGTCGCCTGAATCACTTGAGTCGTTTTCAGTTACTGCGTGAAGTGGCTTTTGGCGGGAATATCTTCCTTTCTGCATACAAACTTTGGCGAAGTGATTTTCGCGACCACAATTTCGGCAGCGGCTTCCAAATGATGGACATAATTCCTTTTTTCGTTGGTGCACTGTTCCACAATATTTGCATTTAATTTTGTTGTCACGCCCCCCGTCACGCCTATCAAGTCCGATACGCCTGTCATCGCGTCTTCCGGTTCCTGTGCTTCCGGTTTCGTTTTTTTTGTTTACAATGGCGTTGATTTCGCCCTCATTTGCTTCGCTGTTTGCCTGGATTTTCTTGACTTGTTTCTTCGTGGTCTCGCTACTGCGACAGATGTCGATGGCTTTTGTCAAGGTGAGTTTTCGATCTTGCAATAACTTTTTTTGAGTTGCATTATCGTTGATTCCTATGACCAGGCGATCGCGTATCAAAGAATCTCGTAAACAATTACAGAAATTACAAGATTGTGCCAATGTTCGCAGTGCTGTTACGTATTGGTCGACTGTTTCGTTTTCATTCTTTTGCCTGCTGTTGAAAACGAATCTCTCATAGGTTTCGTTTGTTTCACCTAAGCATAACTCTTTAAATTTGGTTACAACAATGTCAAATTTCGTGCGGTCTTCTTCCGAGGCAAAATCTAAGCCCTCAAAAATTTCCATTGCGTCCTCGCCGATGCACGAAAGGAACGTTGCTGTTTTGAATTCATCTTCAAATCGGTTAAGTCTTGCCACTATAGCATAGTTATCCCAAGATCGCTTGAATTTCTTCCAGTTTGAGGCAAGGTTTCCTTCAGTTTTTAATGGCTTAGGCATGGCCAAGCCCGCTGGCAATAATGGTTGACATGCCGAGGCTGTGTTCGGCGTGTTTTCTGCTTCGCTACCGTTCGCTTCTTCTATCATTTTCAATAATGTGAGCTGGCTTAATAGTGAATAGTGAATAGCTGCTGACACCATGTTATTTGCTTCTCACTTTCATTAACTTTTGATAGTTTTATTTCTTATAGTATAATTCGCATAATATAAACTCCTAACATGTATATACTCTATCTCTAAAATCCCGTGTCCTACAACTATTTTGCGCCCTTTTTGTTCGTTCCCAGTTTTCCCTGTCCGAGCAAATATAACTAAAATATTAATGTCAACAGTAAATGTCCAACACAGAGTGCAGTATCTATTTAAATAATGCAAATCATTAAAAACTTGCATAGCATAACCTGTTGCTATGGCTATAGCTTCACCACTGACATTATTATAATTATTATACAAACAAAAGCACGAAATTATAAGCATTGATTAAGGTATTCATATAAAACCACCCATGGCAAGGAAGTACTGTAGAATTAGAATATTTAGGGCCTGTTTATATGATCCAGGCGGGACGGGATGCCTACCGAGATCCCGCTCGTAATACAAATTCTAAAGAGTGTTTTGAATATGATCCCGCCACTTATTCTGCCTATACAGGATCTCGGCAACAGATGCCGGGATCCCGCATAAGCGAGATAAAAATTCCCATATAAACACTTCATCCTGGCTAGGCGGGATGAATTTTCCCCTTTTGAGCATGCGTAAATGCTTTTATTGCAACAAAAATATGACGTCAAGCACTTAAATGGCTTCATCCCGGCAATGAATTTTGTCCATAAAAACAGTAGACGAGTATCCCGTCTACGTGGGATGAAAACGTCCCATCCCATCTAGGCGGGGTCATATAAACAGGCCCTTAGATGACCTTTGTGCAAAGTGTTTGATATTCAAATTGCACTTTTCCTGCCTCCTAAACAGGCTGGCCTTAGGGGCTGTTTACATATTGAATAAGTGACTATAGGCTAGAAAAAGTAAATTGTACTGTATTTAAAGCTAATTCTCAATGGCAAGAGCAGTCGCGAGACAGTGACCATGTGTACGGGAAGTCTGTGTTAAAGGATGCATTGAATAAAGTCAGGTATGTTTGCTTGAGTAATTGTTTAAATGATGAGATGTTGGAAAAGCCATGCACAGGAGCTGTTTTGGAAATAGTGTTCAACAAATGCAGGTTAACAGAACTGTAGAGAAGATCTTGTAGTTCAAGATATTATTATTCCTGCTTGAACAACTATAATTTTACTTATGCAAGACAAGATTACACGAGACAACACATCTTGAGACATTCATTTCTTGTAACTCTAAGGGTGACAAAGGGTCTAATTGATTGAACTAAAGAATTGAAATTTGTAAACTATAAATAATATAGAAGTACATATTTAATAAACAAGTTAATTCAGTTGACTAATTGTACCTTTTTTGAAGCTTTCCCCATCTTCATGAGTAAACCATTAACATGCTGTACAAGACTCATAGCATTATCACGAGTGTTTAGAAGAATTGACGCAGCATTTACAACCCTTGGGTGTATTAATTCAGACTTCTCGCCAGCACCAGCATGTAGCATTTTATAGAAGAACGGTGTTCTAGTATTGAATTCTTTGCCAACATTTGTCCAAGAAAATTCATTAATTGCTTCCTTGTTTATGGAACGCAATATGGATGGTTGCTTCAATGAACATAGGTTTTTACATTCCTTAGATATCTCTGCAACCGCGACTTCTTCTATGTAAGGTCTTAATCCCTTGCAATTAAATGCAAATACAGCAACACTTTTCATACTTCCCCTTGCTAAGGCTTTACCCAAACAATGCATTTCTTGCGGAAGGGAATATGATCTTTTCCCATTTGCATATGTTACAGATACCTATAGAGATAAACATAATTTTAAAATCTTTAAAATAATAGTTCATAATATCTTAAATTTGTACATTGGATGTATCGTCTTTTTACTCTTTTACAAAACTTTACATCCAAATAGATCAACAAATATGGCATTGTATGTCAAAAAATTTATACATAAATTCATGTATGGATACATTTATATATAATATACGATGCAATGTTTCAATTATAAAAATAATTAAATCGAGTACGTACAGTTTAATTTTGAAAATACGCTTATTATGTAAATACTTTAGCATGTGTTCGAAGCAAACCTACCTCGACTTTGCAAACATTTTCTGTGCCATCAGGGATGGGTAATCCATGTTGCACAGTGTGGAGTATGTTACTGGGTCTAGGCATTAAAATTGAACATCCTTGGAACGGTGGTAAGTTGAGTGTATTGAGTGCAGAAGGAAGGTAAACACAGGTTGAATTTAATGCAGTTTTCTGATAGTTCATACTCTGAACTGTATTAGACTGACTCTTGAATCGTTCACATGTTGAACTTGGTGCAATGTCCTGAAACGTCTGACTCAGAACACTATTCAGACTCTTCCAACGCTGCGCGGGTTGCGATGTTTCTTTCACGTCGCTCGGAACTCCACGTTTGAATCGCACTGAAGTTCTACATGCAGCACGTGATTGTCTGTCTTTTAATGTTGCAGACAGATCCGCCAACGATGTTCTCAGTGCTGCAAATCTATTCGTCTTTTTATAACAGTCATCGTTGCAAAGGTATCCTGTTACATCAAGTTCACATTCAAGAATATCAGATAACAGCTTGGCAACTGAACTAGTTATTCTTGCTCTTCTCTTCGCATCCGGCAAGTTGATACCACACAAAAAACAAAAGTATTTATTTTCTTTTAGATATTTTTTTTGAGTGATATTGAGCTTTCCCTCAGCCATATTTACATGTAAAGCGCCAAAAATGTCGCATGCGAATAATAATCAGTAAAAAACGGAAGTGACGTCACGGACAACGCCGTTCGACCATTGATCCAGCCGGTGTGGGGAGAGACCCACCGGCTGGATCGAGCCTACAGAAATGGCGGCAATAGACTCCTCCAACCATTCAACATTGACGTTGCACACAAACCAGCATAAACAAAACACAACGACAAAACCGACACAACAGAAAAACATAACGCCGTTTATATTTTGCCTTGCAAAACCTGTCAGGATAAATACATTGGACAAACATCTAAAAAGATTCAGACAAGACTAACAGAACACCAAAACGCAATGAACAGACACGGCCATAGCTCACTTCCAGCTAAACACACAGACGACAACGGACATAAATTTGACTGGTCTCAAACGAGATGCTTACAGGTCAAGCAACGACCAAACAGGCACGTGAGTTTAAAGAAGCGTGGCATAGTTACAATGTACTTACAACTGAAACGCTCGCACAAATCTCTTAATTACTCGCTGGGGCACCTGTGCCCTGGCGAGTATAGGTTTCGGCTCGCATTTTTCCCCGATAGTGGATGTCAAATCGCGATCCATAGCCACAAAATAGAATATTAATGAGCTCCCTATTTATCCTTTTCAAAATGGCAACCTTTCGTGGAGTGGGCAAAATGTTTCCAACAATTTCGTTAAAATTGTCAACGAATTGCACCTGTTTTCTGTGGATGTTGCATTGTGTCTAACTCCGGACATTCTTGCTGGCTTATTTCATGCATTTTTCTTGGTACACGACTGTGAAAATCCGAAATTTGGATCGTCGAATTCCCGTGCACGATAATAATATACTGAATCTGAATATAAACGAGTCAAAGTCAATTTCAAGGTAAAAGGTTATAACTTTTTTAAACTACATAGTTTTAATAGATAACTACTTTATGAAAAGCATAATGGTGTCATATCAATATAAAATTTATCCAACATTGAACAGCAGTCCCTAATAGTTAGCTGTGGAAACGTGAAAACTGTTGTGTGAAATATGATATTGTATTTGTAATTCCTAATGGCGCAATAAGGGTAAAAATACCACCGTTCGATTCAGCGTAGGAAATGGTACTTACGGATGTCAAATGTTTTACAAAACTGTCTAAACACCAATATTCTAGCGGTTTATGGCCTTTGAAAATCAAGCGAAGTTGTATTGTTGAAAAATCGCTCGCCAGGGGCGGATCCAGCTCCGAAACTGACCGTTGCTCCTAAATCACGGTTAACTAGGGAGTCCGGGGGCATGCCCCCCCCCCTGAAAAATTTTGAAATTTGAAGCCCGGAAACACCATTTCCTGCAATCTGAACAGCGTATTTTCTCCTCAAATCTCGGTCTATGGACGGTGAAGCATGTCCATGATTTGCTTTTGGTGGTAGTGATATTAATTAAATTAAATATGTCAATAGTTTGGGTAGGATAGTATGATTGAATTGTAAGCCAATTACCGTCGCTAAGGTAAACATCATCGACGTGAATTCGTGATTATGCGCATTATGCATTGCTTCTTCAGTAAGTGCTGCTGTATGATCATATTTTCAACAAGAAAATATTTCTTTAAAAAAGAAATAATGTTTCGTTCCAATATAATTATAGAAATACCAGACGTCTGTAATTAGCGGTTGTGACCATAGATCACTTGTATATGAGTTGAGCAATGAAATTGGTTCATTTTGTGGGGCGGGCGGTTTCTGGTTATTTTTTTGCTCGTATTAGTATAAATTTTCATTACCTGGAGGGGCCGAGCGGTCCAAAAATACAGTAGTAGTATTTAAAATGAAGAAAAACAAAGAAAACTATATAATAAATATATACCGCTGTTGGTGCTTGAATACTTCAAATATAAATCATTGTGCCTGTAGATTTAACCTGAAGTTCAGGCCCTAAGATTTTGATTGGTTGCAAGTTCACATAAACAACGGTTTTAAAAATAGCTCGGTCAAGGGCTCAAGGGGATAATAATAATATAAAGGTCAAACGCACGTAACAAATCCATTATCGATTTCTTCGAATTTCTTTTCTTTTAATATGCTTTATGGCAGAAAATAAATCGAACAAAAAGTATTTTGAAAGGTCTTTATCAAAATCTTTGACGAATTTTGGACACACGACGCTGAAAGAACAGCCAAACTAGTCATGTATTCGAAAGCTTGTTGTTGACAGCCAAGATTTTCTGCCAACTGGCTTCGCCAGCAAAAGCCTTATTTTTAATATCAGGTCCTACCGGCGTTCTTTTCTGAGCTACATCGCCTTCTTCGTGGTACGGTTGAGAATTTTATTGTTGCTGTTGTTAGAATGTTACTGGTATATCCGCGTCCAGCAAGTTGAGACCTTGAGAAAGCTTGGCAGTCAAGCCGTACACACAACTGACTAATTGAATCTTTGTTTGCTGTTCGATTAAATAGAGAAACTGACTCTTAATTTTATAAAAGTACCTTGAACTTTTAAGTTTAATTAAAAAGCAAAATGCACACTCTGCGGACATGTTCATGAGAATATAAATATTTTGTGTAGCGAAATCTACAACACTTGTCAATCATATTGGATGCATGCTGTGTCTAAAAATAACATGTGGGCGTCCCACGGTCTAGACAGGTTTTGTGTCAGGCCCTATCTAAAATTAGGGCCTGAACTTCCGGTTAAGTTACCATGTTCTCATAGGTTGACATATAATTAACTAAGATTTCCGATTATACGCCACGCCTCCAAAAAACTTCTTATGCTAGGAGCGGTCATCTCATTGGACGATTCTAAATGTAATTGACATTTGAGCAAGAATACTGTCAAAGGATTGGATAACTTTGATCTCTGACGTCACTTTCCTGTGATATTGCTCGAAACCAAATACAGTACCGTTTCGTTCCTGCGGGGAACGAAACAGAAACTGACATGGCAGTATCAGACAAGCACTTTGCAAAGGCAATTTTAAGCCAAGTGAACACTCCATTCTCAACGGGTGTATAAAAAAAAAGTAAACAATTTGAAACGGCTCTCAATTTGACCAATCCGTTCATGCCATTAAATATTTGATAAAGATAAATTCGTAAAGATAAATTTTCCAACGCAGGGGGGTGGGGTCTTTCTTAGCAGCATTACTGTAAAGTAGCTTGCACATGAAATTTAAAAAGTTAAAACGCATTTTAAGTTGATAGACGAGAAATTTGTTATGTGTTTTATTAATGGTCCAAATATCAGAAAATTTGCTCAATTTTAAGTCCTTCAAATAGGCGCTGAAACTATAATTTTTGGAACAATTGCCTTTCACGCATGCTTAATTCATGCATTTTCCTAATTTGCATATTGTTACTTCACTTTTTTTACAAGCTACTGCAACTTTTTTTAGTTAAAGAAATCTATGTTAAATTAACCAATTAGTGTGCAAGGTCTTTCTAATAATGAGTAAAATTACCCAAGAACTAGACAAAGTAATGTAGCACAGAATGTGGTATTTGGGTGTGTATTATGACAACAGTAATTGAGTGAACTATCATCATTTGCTTGCATGGCCAATATCTACATGGTTGTTTGAGTAACAGCTATATAAGACAATGGGGGAGGATGTGGGTGACTACCATATTACCACCCAGTTGCCAGAAATCTCAATTCTTTAACCTATTGAGAGCCAGCACTCTCCCCTTCACAAGCAAAGTCATCTGGTGTTAGACGACAGAGTAAAATAATAAAGTACGACACTTTAGGCCTCATTACGGCACACTGCAACTCAATGGGTTAAACTTATATAAACATCTCTTGCAAATTTGCTTAATGTATATCCCACCAATTTATAACTTTCAATTAGATGTAAAAATAGTAAAATTATTAATTTTTACAGCTTTGGTACACATGTAGTTATTCAGCCACCATTCAATGACTTTCAGGAATTATTTGGGGGAGGGAGTAACTGCCCACCATGTATGCACCGATAATAAGAATAGTTATATCAGTAATCTAGCTGTACTCTTGCATGACATTTCCTCCATTTCCATGATTGTTTAAATGATCATGAGTGTAACAGTGTGGTTGCAACATGCTTTCAAGTGTTTAATGGCTCAGTGTTATGTTGCTCCAAAATGGACGTTTTTGCTTGACAACCTGCCTAAAGCCTGATTCACAGTTAGTGATTTTGTTTATCATGATTTTCCCATCCTGATGGATTCAAATGAGTGGGCTTGCACACAATCAGTTTTCACAAGTTATGCTTCCATGCCTTTTGCATGTTACTCATCTAGTTGTCACCCCCCCCCCAGCAGAAGAAATAATTGCCGACAAAAGATTTGCTGCCTGAGAACCTGAATTAAGATCATCTCAAAACACATCTCAATATGAAGATGGCTCACTTCCATATAAACACATCCTAATTCTATCCACTATTATTTGACAGAATAATAAGGATATTCAATATATAAATAAAACATATGCCACCATACTGCATAATGACAATCTAAAGCATAAGCATGGTGATAATCCCATTGTGTCAGCAGAAGTTGCAACCTCTACTAAATACGATAATAAACAAGTAAGAAACAACAATCAAGCCACTTTTGCGGAGGTAGTGACATCTAACCCTGTATTTAACAACCTCGTTCCCAGGCTCTTTGCTCTTGGGAAGCAAAGACCCTGGTCGGGGCTGGTCACGTGACCCATAGAAAATTGATGACCTAAGAGGGGGATGGAAAAGTATCAAATTACATGTTTCCACTTCCGCACCTCACACTTCCATTGCAAGGAGTGACCGTTCTATACAATCATCTTTGAGAATCATATATACTTCAAAATACTTGCTAAATTGGTTTCTGTTTGCTTTTAAATTATACAAACATGTTAAACTGTAGATTCTTATAGCAACAAACAAGTCAGAAAATCAAGCAACGAAAACGTATGATTGTATATACTTGGAAATATTTTCCCTTTTATTGTCTCGGGGTTCGGGCGCAGTTTCATTTCACGCGTATGT